CAACTGCGCCCAGACACCGACTAACGGAGGGGCCCCCCGATGATCCGTGATCTGCTGAGCTTTCCTCACCTTGTGTACCCGTCGGTAGGGCGGGATCTTGCTCTCTCGGTAACGTTCCGGGGAGCTCAAGTGGCGAAGCTTGAGTGTCTTGGCGAGACGTGGGGATGGGGTGGAGCAGCAGTGGAAAATCTTCACTCTGCGTCCGTGGATGGTTCCGAATCCTAAGCGAATATCCGAGCTTATGGATCCGGGGCCTAGATCGTGGATCTGGCCGTAGGTCTGCCTTGCAGGGGTGTCCCTCTGTGCTCTGGGCTTTTCCTCTTTAGCTCGCAAATTGCCGCCCTCTCGTGAAGAGACATCTTAAAAGATTGAGAACTCTCTCAGGGTGTTAAACGCACCACGTTATTAAATTCGGTTAACTGTCGGATCTCCCAAGTAAAGGAAAAGCTCACTAGGTTGTAGATCTGGCCCATGTATTATCAGCTATCACTACCAACACTAGATCGCAATCCCCAACCTTCTCCTAGCTCGTACGGCCAATGTAGTTCCGATTCTTGATGGCAGGAAGGCACTTGCGTGATACTGTGCAAATTGAAGTCTGTATTGATACTTAAGCCTATACCTGCCTGGATTCCTACCTTCTATGTCTTTCACTTGTTAAATCCCTTACTAGGCTCGGCTGCATGCCCTTTCTTTCCCTTGACCCATCACCCCAGCTGTATTATCCTCAGATCCACCGGATCCATGGCGTAATCATTATGGTCACCCTATTATGGGTACACTCATCCGGATCCAGGTCGCTTGGATCCACATCAATGTAATTGTACACTCGCCGTGGATCCGAGCTCTCCAATCATCCAACATCATCTTGCAACCGTCTGTGATCTCCATTGTCCCACGAAAGTTCGAGATCTACTGCATCCACCATCCCTGTATCCTGGATCCAGGTCCCTCAAAGCGGGACCCTCCCTCCATGGATCCGAACTCGGAAGTATGGGATCCGGGGTACTCGCGGTGGATCTTGACTCTTCATTAGCCGTGGCTACTAGTTCCACCTTCAGAGGGCACTTGGCACCATTCCTTCTCCGAATTTTCAAAACGAACCCTTCTTTTGTGTCTGAGCTTTTGATTGGTTATATTTACGGAGGCGTGAATCACGCCGTGATATCTATCTGGTTGTCACCTGCTAATTCTTAGTTTGTTATACCTAGCCCTGCAATTACAGATAGTTGTTTTTATCCGTTTAGCCAAAATATATGCAAAGCACAATAACTGTGCCTTTGAGATCTCGACTTTGGGAAATCCTCACTGGCTTTCAAACTTTTGGATACTTCTAAAGTGCTTAAAACATTCTGGAGCATTTTAAACGTTTTTTACTTTACAAATCTGAAACCATCTCTAGTGCGGAATCGGTGCATTTCTACCATCACTCTGCTAGCTAAGTTCCAAAAGAAGTCTCCAACTTCTCAGATCGTCTCAAAAGACGTTGCGGTTTCTAACACTTCGAAGAAAAAGAAGAATTATCCCTGCAAGCTCGGACACACTCCAACCGTATGATTATTTTTCAAACGCTAAGTTCTTTCGTAAATGAGATCGCTAGTAGCAGGATACGCTTCGTTGTCTTATCCAGGCCATCCGACTGCCACCAGCGTCTCCAGGTCCCTTTCGTGCTGATCTTTCCATACCTGAAACTGTAGTGCTACTTGCTGCAACATTTGCGCCTTAATTTTGCCGAGGTAGCTCACCTCTGCCTTCTTCTCCTGAAGCTGCTCGAACGTGGTGCGATACCGTTTCTTCGCGTCCTGCACTTGTAGCAGCGGCATGATTTTACCCTCTGTCGCTTCCACCTCTTTCTGCTGATCAGGTGTTGGGCGGTCTCGCAGCTTGTGTAGTTCCAGTGTGTACCCGTCGATCTCCCTGCAAGTAAACCGCTTGAGTCAGCACCTAATCCGAGAAATAGACTCGTAAACTAGTCCCAAACCACGTACATTTTTACGCGGTTGACTGCAAGAACAAGCGTTGCAAACTGGGCCCTCGCCTCGCGGAGGTTAGTCTTGGCCTGTTCCAGGTCGCGCAGAGCCTCCGCACCGGGATTGGCGCCTCCCATGGACTTAAAACGTTCGAAGAGCTCTTTGTCGCTCTCGTCGAGGGTAGGGGCTGATGCCTCGCGCTGCTGCTGCTGCCAATGCTCTAATTCTTGCTGTTCGCTCCATGGCATTTGATTTCCTCTGTGAAGTGGTGGTAGGATTGTTGCGGTTGGCTCCGTTCTGTTGATATTGTTGGCGCTTTTACTAAGCTCAGACGACGGACTGAGATCTGGCGGCGTGTGACCTCGAAGGGCTCGAATCTGCGTCACCATTTTGCTCTCGGTTTTTCTCGCCAGATTTATTGATGACTCGACCGATGCTTTCTGTTCCAGGCAAACTGAACGAAAACTTTGCAACAGTTGATGGACTTGTCGAGCGCTCTGCACTGGTGGGACCTGCTCAGCATCTGTCAAGAACTCGGTTATCTGTTGACGCCTCAATTCCTCGGCATGATAACTGTTTCCCTTGCTGCTGTGGCCGGCCCGCGTCTGCCCAGCAATTGCATCGTACAGGACAAGCTCCTCACGCAACCGTCGAATCTCGTCGCGATACGCAGCTCTCTCCTCGTTTGCCAGTTTATACCCAGCGCCGCAGGTTGCAACGTTGATAATCGCTTGAGTTTTGACACGACGCATTCTAGCTGCGAATCGCAGTGTCGCCAGACTTTGGTCGGCGTGTGCCGGCGCTGGCCATACGCATGCTACCAAGAAAGTGTGGCAGTTGCCACCCAGTGAATCCTTGAGTAAGTTGGTCAGTGGTGATTGTCGAAACGGCACGTGCGCTCGGTTTTTGCTCCCTAGCGCAAGCACAACCTGCTCTAGGAATGATAGCGACCGGTTGATATAGCAGGCCTCGTTGGCCCTTGTGGAACCTGCCTCCGTCAACGTCTTTTTCATCCGCTCTGACCCTGCTAGGTCTACCAAGTGCAGTTTGCTGTATACCACATCGTCTTCAATTATTTCTCGCATTCCATCTTCTTCCATCAGTTCAGAAGACATACGTCGGGGGCAGGTAGTCGTGGACGGCTCGTCAACAGCCAAGGCTGTGCTCACGCTGGCGGGCAGTTTAGATATGTGATTCGCTGTAAGCGGTAGTGGTGGACGTCCCCGCAGCACAGCCTGCGAGCGGGCGACCCATATCGCTACAAGAACCACAGGTATTGATGGGCGGCAGACCAAAATCAACAGACGAAGTAAGCGTGGAGACCATGTTGCCGACGGATTGCAGAGCTAAAAGTTTACGTGAAGTACAGGGTGCGTTGATGAGCATAGCGACATCATCCGGACGGGTCCCTTTCAGTTTGGGGGCGCACTGCAATAGTTAAAGCGAGTGTCAGAGCGGCATGAATCGCTACAGCCCGTAGAAGGCAAAACGGATGAATCATGGCAAGAGAATCTGAAGTGTGCAAAAGAGAAGTCTCCGACGGGACTCGAACCCGCAATCTCCCGCTTCGTAGGCGGATGCCTTATCCATTGGGCCACGGGGACGCTTCTGACCACTCAACCTCCTCCCACAGCGACAACGTTGGGAAAAACACAGCCACACACAAAAGGCATCGATTACGCTACTCATACACGCGCTACCACACACACGGGAGCCCTCACGGACTCGGAAGCATACTCACACTCATCTGGGCTGTCCACCGCTGCTTGGCGGCAGGCCAGCAAAGCTCGACTTTCTACCTGCTCACAGTGGACGACTGACGAAGCTGTCTACGTCGGGGCAGGTAGTCGTGGACGGCTCGTCAACAGCCAAGGCTGTGCTCACGCTGGCGGGCAGTTTAGATATGTGATTCGCTGTAAGCGGTAGTGGTGGACGTCCCCGCAGCACAGCCTGCGAGCGGGCGACCCAT